TTATTTGAACTTTTTGATTTACAGATTTTAGATTTGAAGCATTTCAGCTTTGGACAAGACCATAAAGATCACCGAAGTCCAAATGTTCTCAGTCAAAGCACACATCTCCTCTGCAGCCTAGTCATACTCACCTTTAGTTTAAAAACAAAAAACAAAACCTGTGGCGAAGGAAGCACTTTCTTCCTTAGGGGTCCATTTCAAGTTTGAGAAGGCGCTCAACCCTTGCCTTGTAGCTCATACCCAGTGGTCCTATTTCAACTCCTTTCAATATCCTGTGTAGATAGGATATTCCCCATGATTTGTTTTCCTTTTCCCTGATTCTAGATCTCCCTGCTACAGAAGCAAGTGGGCAGCTACAGCCCCACACCTTCCAGCCGCTGCCTGCTCCAGGCACATGGGCTTAGTATTGACAAGTCTGAATCATGACTTAAAAAGGGAGAGCTTTCTCCTTAGAAGACAACTTAGCAACTTCCTACTTCAAACCTAGGCTCAGTGCATAATTTGTTACCACAAAGACTTTCTTGGCAGTTGTCTGCAGTACTATCAAGAGATGACACGAACTTCTAGAATCAAACAGAGAAGAATAAAGGCTTTAGAGAAAAAGATGGCTCTATCAAATATAATAACCTGGATAAGAAATATAGCTACGTGCTTCCCAGACTTAGTTCATACACCCTTCATTAAAACTTCAACTCAATAAATAAAGAGCTGTGTTTAAAGACTTAGGTAACCTACTACATTTGCATATTTTTTACTACATAAAACTTATCCAAACTAGGATTACCTCAAACCATAATCCTCTATCATATTTTACAATTTTATTTTCATTTGTGATGTAAACATTTTTCCCACTGATGTCCACAAATTAATAAACAACATTAGCCATGTGCTACAAAAATAAAACATGAGTTGAATCTATACATTGAACTATAAATTTAATTCACCTACATGTAAAATTTAGACCAAAGAATACAACTGACTGTTAAAAATAAAAGTTTTAAAATAACTACAGTTTAGAATCCTGTTGAGTTCTCCTTATTGGGAGCAAAATCAAAAAATCAAATAGTGAGCATAAATACTTTGGAAAGAGAGACACATGACACAAAATGAAAGTTTCCATGCTAGAAATGGACATGAATATATAAAAGACATGTGACATCCACAAGTAAAGAGACATACACAATGGAAAAGGAAAGCAATACACAGAATATAATAAAACTCACATAGACAGAAATAAGAGAAATGAGCTTTCTTGATGTCTTATGTAGACTTTTAGGAAATTGCCACCAAATACTTTTAATAGGACACATTTTCCCAACCATAAGCATAAATGTGTTAGTCTTGATATTTGCTTTGTGAACTGGATAAAATTAAGCTGAGGGCCAGATGTTTTCCATCTGTGTTTTAGATTATGCTAAACATAAGATGATTAGAAAATACTCATATGTGACTGGTTTACCTTTATATTAAAAAGTCAGGTGACATCAAGACACTGCTGTAGACTTTAGAAAATTTTAGTGCATTTTTGATATCAGAATTTTGACAAGTAATGAAAAAATTAGATGAACAGTTTTATTGTAAAACAAACTTCCATTTTCTAATAAACAGACTGAATCTTCATAATCCTGAAACAATTTTTTGAAAAGTGAAAGCTGCAGATTTTTCATGTGATATCAAACTAAGAACTGGATTTATTTCCCTGAATTTAATTTTGATATTAGGTATACAACCAACATGTATAAGTTAATGTAGTTTATTATGTATTGTGAAGATACTACTATAGTTCATATGGATGGACTGAATTATGAATTAAATGTCAAATGTCCCATGGGGGATTATGCTTTAGATAATCAATCACTAAAGACATGGAAGAAAAAATATATAAAGTCTAGAAAGAGAAGTCATCAAAATGTCAGCATGAAACTATATCAATCATCATGTACAAATCTTCCATTGGTAATAAGTTGTAAGAGTGAAATAATTGTGATGCTCTCAAAAAAAGTTGTGGGTCTGTAGCTGTTTGATTACATCTTTGTTGGATAAATATCACTTGTTTATTATAGTTGACACATTATGTAAATTATTCTACAATATCCATAAATTAATTTGAAACATTGCTCTCTCTGGTAACATATCAGTATTTTTTTTAACATAATTTGCTTACATTAATTACCAGAGCTATTAAAAATTAATGGCTAGTGAAGGGCATATTTGCACAATTTTAGTTTGAGAAAAGCAGAAAACTATAGTGTTAATAAGTTCAGAAACACACAATTTCAAATTAGCTAATTTTCTGATAACTCAATTTCTTCATGTTTCCAAGTTCTTGGTCAAAATAGTTCATTTATCAATTAAGTGTTAAATTAAAAATAATTATCAGATTAATTTTTAGAATTTTCTAAAATATGACATTGTTATATTTGCATACTACCCAAATAGTTCCTTAAAAAAATCTACAATGTCTACTGACATTTGAGGCAATCATTAACATATCTTCTTCAATTAGTTTTTAAAACAATTGAATTGAGTGCTGGGGTCTTTAAGTGAAACCTTGCATAAAGTTAGTATATTAAACTTTGCCTTTTGGATGTTGGCAAAACTCTAACTGAAAATAAATTTCAGTTTATATTTATAAGTAATTTGCTTCTAAACTTCTTTTCATTTGAATTTCATTAAATTTTTTTCTACAATGAATGTGCTTAATTTATGCATGTTAATTCTTGCATATTGATGTATTTGAAAGTAATTTTTGAAGTCCTAAGTGGTACTCTGGTTGCAGTTTTATCAAACAAAGCGTGAAGCAGCAGTTTACATTTTAACAGTTTGTAAACACTAATGCATTTCTGCATTATCAAACTTGTATTTCTGAGCATTTATCAGCTTATTTTTCGGTGTAAACATGAAATATTTTCCTAAACTTGGATAATATCAAACCATTGTGGCTTCCTGACTTCCACTTGGAAAATGGCATAGATATTTTTCCTAAAGTTACAGGAACACATATTTGCAGTTGGACAATGAGGAGCAGTCTTTCAGCTGTACCAAGTTAACTAAAGACCATATTTTTTAAATTTGGAGGTGCAATTAAGTGAAACCATAAGAAAACATTTTGTCAAGTGACATTGTTCTGCTTTAAAAAAATTATATATATCATATTTTTGGCAAATTCCATATATTTTATCTAGTTTTTATCTTAACAACCACAAAGTTATAATTATAAGGAAACTGCAACACATTTGTCTAGATATTAAATTTTGTACATTTTACCTATTTTTTTCTCTGAACAACTACAAAGTTACAGTTGTAAGGAAACTTTATTCTTCAACACCTTATCAGTTTGGATTGTAGCTGTCAATAATCACTATTCTTTTCCTCTACTAAGGGCATTCTTTCACATGACAGAACTATGTCAAATTTTGAGTCTAAATTTTGTTCCACTCTGTAACAAGGATTCCTCTTTTCCCATCATCTGCCAATAAACTTTTTTACTCTGAAGTTGATTGATTCCTGGGCATGGTTCAGATCTGAGAGTTTCTGAAACTCTTAATGCATATGTAAGAGTTTCTGTAACTTTTCATATTGATTTATACATCTAAATATGTCATCTTAATCTAATGATTTAGATCTAATGATTTTGATTAAGATTACATATTTAGGTATATATTAATGTTTCTGTCTAGCAACTTTATTAGTGTTGCTCATGAAACCGCCAAACCCTTGAACATTTAACCCAAACTGCTCTTCCCAGGTAAAGAATTATGAAGATTTGCTTTCTAATGTGTCATTAAATAGTTCCAAAATCTCTCAGAGTAACTGGTTCTAGGGCATATTTCCACAACAAATCACTCATTTTCTACATTGTCCCAAATTACAGGGCAAAAATGATATTTCTTAGGAGTATAAAAATAATTTTCATCCCAATATGTTGATGTGTGTGTTTTACTTAATATAGTAAGGCTCAAGAACCCTCATAGCTTGTAAGACCTGACCCTTTAGTTTGACTTCTAACAAAAGCAAGGTAACAGCAGTTTGTAAACTGTCAAATCCTATCAATTTACATACACTTCTTTGCTAATCCTAAATCAGACGATTTATCTGCTGATTAAGATTTAAGTTTCAGGTTTAAAAACTCAAATATTAGAAAACATCAAGGAGTTAGTTGAGATATTTGAAAAAACACTTGCAAATTTTAAAACTTCAACTTTTGGAGAACAGCGAGAAACCTGGATTTAAAAATCCTTTTCCACATTTCCAAGCTGTGAATATTCCTGGCTCCTCCCTGAGAAAATCTTAGTGTAATTCAGTGATTAAAAAAATAAAATTTCAAGATACAAAATGGAACTAAATTTCCTGGCCTAACCAGAAATCCCTGGGTGGTTACTGTGAAACAAGACTTAGATCTGATTTCCACAGCAAAATGAGAAAACAAGCAAAACAACGTTGTACATCAGGATGGTGCTGAAATACACAAGTGATGCTGGGAAGTTACCTTCTCCCCTCTCCCCTCTCCTCTTCCCCTTCCCGGAGGCTGAATAAGAGCAGAACAAGAGTCCCCAGTTTCTCCGAACCTCTCCCAAATCTCAGTTGTGAAGAGATCCTCTAGTCTCTAATACTTCTCCAGACACCAGCACAGCTGGCTGAGAGGAGAAAGCTCAGTCCGCGTGTGACCTGTCCTGACAGCACCAACAAATGGAAAGCTGCAGGGAATTTGCCTGATAAAGTATACGCAGCAGGTATCTAACTTGTAACCTGGCCTTCTTGGGTTAAGTCCTAAGGCCCTATGAGAAACTCAAGCTGTGATTGGAAAATCTTGCCCTAGCCTCTTTCCCAGAAAACTGAAGCAGTCTTCCTTCTTCCAACCATGCACCCAACACATTTGCCCAGGGCCTTCCAAACCAAAGAAGCCTGCGACCCAGGCAGCCGATAGTAACCATCAAATTCCCGCGGAAACCTGACCGCTTAGTAAAGCCTCGCAGAAGAAAAGATCAAATGAGACCGGCTCAGCGGGGTTTTCCCGAGATGACCCGGAGTTAACGTATTTATTTTCACGCTGTAACTGCTGATCACTTTACAGAGACATATCATGCTGTAGCTCTGCATGGAGCTGAGGACGAAAGTAACACTTTTATCAATATTATTATTCTTTAACAAAGCTATTAAATAACCTGTACAATGCCCAAACCAAAACCCGAGCACGATTTCAAATCTCCCGGGATCCTTCCATTTTAATTCAGCAGCGCTTCCTATATACAAGGCCAGCCCAGGATGGTGCCCCCAAACTGTCAGTCGCCCAGATGGTGGGAACGGTTCAGAGTTTGGAACCGCCCTGGCGTAAACAGGGCTCCAAGCCATGACCCAAATGGCCCCAGCTTCCTACCCTCCTTCCCTCGCTACTCCTGGGAACTGGGTCCCTGTGTCCGAGGACCCAGGAAGCTGGGAGCCTGGCTCCACATTGGGAGGGGCGCAGCGGACAGGCCGTCTGCTGAGTTTCCCCTCTGCCGGCTGCTCGAAGGCCCCGGGATCTCCCACATAGGTGCTGGGAAGGGGGTCCGAGGCAGGAGTGGTCTCAAGGGCGCTCCGGCTGGGCTCACAGGTCCCGAGGATCCTCCCTCTTAACTCCAGCCTCAGCAACTTTGAGCTTCTTATTCTGGTGCGTCTTGACGTGCTTGGCGAGGTGGTCGCTGCGCATGAAGCGCTTGCCGCACTCGGGGCAGGCGAAGCGCTTCTCGCCCGTGTGAGTCCGCAGGTGCCGCTGCAGCTCGTCTGAGCGCGTGAAGCTCTTGCCGCAAAAGAGCCAGTTGCACACGAAGGGCCGCTCGCCTGTGTGCCAGCGCAGGTGCGCCTTCAGGTGCGACGTCTTGCCGTACACCTTGCCGCAGCCCGGCACGTGGCACACATGCTGTTTCTTCTTGCCTGGCTCCGCCTCGGGGGCGCCGCCCGCCGCCTGGCAGTTGGGGCAGCGGCAGCGGCGGCACCTCCTGGCCGTGGCCGCCAGGGGGGCCTTGGTCTGCAGCAACGCAGCGATCTGGCTCTGGTACTGCGCAAAGTCCGACGGGCCCAACACCAGGCCCCGTTGCAGGGCGGCGGCGGCGGCGGCAGCGGCAGCCGCTGAGGCAGGGAAACGGGGCGCGTGGGGCCCTCCTGCACAGGCGCCGGAGAGGCCGCCCCCCGGAACTCCCGGGGCCCCCGGCCCAGCGCCCGCCTGCGGGATGCTCCACCACGGGAGGTCGTCGGGGGCCGGGTTGGGGGACAGCTGGTGGCAGGTGGGCGGCGGGGGCGGCGGCGGCGGCGGGGGCAGCAGGTTGGAGTAGCCGGGCGGCAGCGCGGCCTGCGCCGCGTAGGGCACGTAGGCGGGCGCGCAGCTGGCGGGCAGAGCCGCCATGCTCGAGGGCAGCATCTTGACTGGCGAGAACTCGTAGGGGTAGGAGGGGTCGGCTGGGGGTGTGAGCGGCAGCTCGTGCGCAGCCCCGAAGGACGGCTGCAGGTGCGTTTTCTGTGGCGTCAGCCCCAGGCTGGGGTGCGGGGGCGGCAGCGCGCCCGGCGAGTGCGCCGGCATGTCGGCGGTCCACGGGTGGAAAAGCCTGGAAGGCGAGCCCAGCGCGGGGTCGTAGGGCACCTGCAGGAAGTCCGGAGGCGCCGCCGCGCCGGGCTGGCCGATTCGGCTACAGGTGGCGGCCAGCAGCGCCAGAGGCGAGTGCTTGCCCAGGTCCGGGGAGGCGCTGGGGGTGCGGTCCTGCATAGGCGGCGGCGAGGGAGGGCGGAGAAGAGACAAAAGGTTAACGCTCCAAGCGCGGACTCCGCGCCCGCCCGCCGCCCCCGCGCCGGCTATTATACCTATTACACGACTGCCCCTCCTCCGCCCGCCGCCCCTGCCCCGCCACCGCGCCACACGCGCGCACCCACCGGTCCCGGGAAACTTTTGGTGCCTGCGCGACCTGAACGTGGGGCACGCGAGCGCTTCTTGCTAAACTACTTGGTGCACTGAGACGCCATCCAGCCTTGGAGGAAGCGGGCGCAAAGTGGGAGGAGGAGGGATCCGACGGGCCGTTCCCAGCTCCGCGGTCAGTTAAGAGTCTGGAAACACCCACAGCCCGACTGCCCAGCCGTCCTCCCTCTCATCTTTTAAGCTCTCTAGTCTTCGCCACCCTCGCGCTCCTCCCCGGCCCGCCCCAGGCTGAACTCAGCAGGAGGGCCCAGCAGGATGAGCTCCGGCCCTGCTCTCGGCCAGCCGCACACCTCCGAAACCCCCGGACCCACGCGTCCCTCCCCCAGAGGCCACACTCTTGACACCAGATGAGGTGTGAAGTTGGCGTGGGCACACCTAGGTCTGGCTCCAGCTGCACCCACCCGCGGGGTTCCCTTTGAGATTCGCGGTGCACAGAGTACCAGGAAAGCTCCGGACGCGGCACTTCCCACCTTTCCCCGCCCCTCCGGGCCCGGCCCTGACCTGGAGGAAGGCCTGCAGCGAGTCGTTCCGGAGGACGGCCACAGCGGCCATGGCTACAGCTCGCAGGCCGCTCGCTGCGGAGCGGGGCGCGGCCGCGGAGGCATGGACACCCGAAGGCGAGGACGAGCGGCCGCCCAGCGTGCCTCCCCGGCGCCCGCTCCGCACGCCGGGGCCCTCCCCGCCGCGCCCCTCGCCGCGCCCCGCTCGCTCGCCCCGCGCGCGGTCTGAGCGCTTCAGGATCACCTCCAAGAATTTGATAAGGACTTTGCTGGGCCGCCAGCCAGTCAGAGGGAAGATTTATGGCTTTGAAGTTTGCCGCTACCCAATCATCAAAGAATAGCGGCTCTTTCAGAAGCGAAAGCAAATCCTTTGAATCCACAAAGCTCCTATGGTGTGTTTGTTGGTCTGGATAAAAGAACTGATTATTAGGGGGGATGGGAAGGGAGGAGATAAAGGCGGGACAATTAATGAAGTAATCACTATGTGGGAAATGTATATACACAAATAATTGGATTTTCCTGATCAAAGGGGGCCTTGCCGCCTGGAGACCCCGCGCTTGGGTTGCTAGAGACACTCGATCCCCCCCCTCCACACACACACACTTGCAATTAAAGATTTGCACTGAGGCAGCGCCCAAAGTGACAAAGTGTCTTTGTTATCTCTAGAAAAATCTGCCTTCAGCTTCCAGACGCGGGACTTTGAGACGGGGATGAGGGAACTCTCCCCCGTATTTACACACCCGCACTCTCACGACACAAACCCCCGCCCGCGAACACCTGGACCCGAGCGAGTTCCCGTGGCGGGGCGTGGGGCCGACCGCTCCCGGAGGGCCGCGTGTCCCCCCGCCCGTCACGGTGGAGCCCAGGGTAGGGCTGTGACCCGGGGCGGGGCCGGGCGGCCGCCCAGGGAGGCGGTGGGTGGCGCGCACGCTCCAGGGCCGCCCGCCTGACGAGCGACTGGGGCTCTCCTGTGACGTTCCTGCTGGAGACCTGGAAGTTTTCCTCAGGCCATAACTTTTGCCAAGAGTGAACCTGGGAAAAACCCTTGCGCCGCGCTTACCCCCAAAGCTGAGCTTGGCAGGACACCCAGAGCAACACATAATATGCATCTAGGGGGAGAAATTGTGCTATCCCGCCCTTTTCTCTCCAGGCAGGCAACCCTGGACGCCGAGGGCTGGGCAGGCAGCTGACCACTATTAGGCGCCACCGAAAGCCCCCTGCGAAGCTGTAGTTTCTCCCCTAAGCCCGGCCCAGTGAGTGCGCGCTCTCCCCGGCCGGCCGGACAGACCTACCAGGGAACTTCTCAAAAAAAGTAAGGTGCGGTAGAGGAAGCCTGTGTGTGTGTGTGTGTGTGTGTGTGTGTGTGTTGGTTCAACAAACCACAAATTGCGGTAGAGGAAGCCTTTGTGTGTGTGTGTGTGTGTGTGTGTGTGTGTGTGTGTGTGTGTGTGTGTGTGTGTTGGTTCAACAAACCACAAATCATACTCAGGCGGCCCCTGAGGGGACAGAAAAATCGATACACACTTGTTCCCGGCTCCTTTGGAAAGAACAAGTTCTTCACCAGGCGCGGGCGTGCCTCGCCCTGGGCAGGGGAAGCGCTCACCAGGTTCAGGGCTGGCCCCAAACCCTCCCTGGCCGACCTGCTCCGGCCGAGGAGGCTACACCGGCCGCCTGCCTCCTTGCAGCCCAGGGCGCAGGGCGCATCCTACAGCGGCGCTTCGGACGCCGGCGTCGCTCCCCGCAGGAGCGCGGGGCGGGGAAAGAGCTAGTGGCTGCGGGCGCAGCGGGGCCCTAGTGAGCCACAGCCCACGTGAGCGCGCAGCGGAGTGCGCCGCGGGAGCTCGGCCTACCCGGCTCCTGGTCCGGACTCCCGGCGGACCTGGTTTCCTCTCTCTGAGAAACCAGCTCACGCCGGCCTTGCTGCGCGTCGTCCTCCCGGGGTCCACACCGCGACCAGGACTGACCTGAGAGGACGGACCGGGTGGCCCACCTCTCGATGCGGTGACAGACGTTAGCCTAACTCCAACGGATTTGGAGTCTGGCCTGTATAATGGGGCCCTGCGCACTTCCTTCAGGGGTCGGGACACTATGCCACCAGGCCCACAGTCTCCCACGCCCAGCGCGCGCCTGAGAACTGGGGACATCTTACTGAAGACGAAGGGGCAGCACGCGGCCCAAACACTACGCATCCCTCACACGTCCCGCACTCGCACGCGCCACCCCCCCTCCTCCCCGACCATGTGTCACTTCTGGAACGGTCAGCAGTGACCGCGCAACTGGGCCGACCGGATCTGGCTCCTTCTGAAGATGAGGTCGAGGTGGTCTGGGATCGAGTAAGGGGAGAGGGCTTAGTGGTCTGATCCGGGGCCTGGCAGACCTGCTCCTTTTCCCACGCCTTATCCCGGGGTCGAGTACCAGAGAAGCCTGAGACCCAAGGAAGCCCCTTCCCGGATGCAAGTTAGAGGCCAGGGAGCCCCTTGCGCGGACATATGCCCATCCCCTCGAAGCGGGCCTGGTTCCTTAGCGTTTGTTTCCTCTCCGGCTTCTTTGAGCTCTTCAAACCCCCTTTCCCCGGGAGGCGGGCTGGGCTGGGCTAAGTAGGATGGAAGGCATCCTCTTTTGCCCAATCTGATAGTTATTTTACAAAACGGCAAGAATTGCTGTACCACATATCCAAAGTTACAGGAGTTAACTTTTTCTCCAGGATGTCCCCATTAGCCAGCAGTGGAGAAAGAGAGCAGTGGCCTCCGTCAGTGGCCAGCAGGGAGAAAGAGAGTAGTGTCGTGGCAGTTAAGAGCTTGGGCTCTGAAGCCAGATCTTTTCCTGCCTTGCCATTTTTCTATTTGATGACCTTGGCAAGCAAGTGGACTCAGCCTCTTTGTGCCTCGGTGTCCCCATTTGGAAAATGGGAGTTATTTATAATAGTGCTCACCTTGTAGAATGTTTGTAGGCTTAAAAGAGTTAATATATGCAAAGTATTTAGGACAATGCGGAACACTCAGTAGGAGTCTCCCGAGTGTTGGAAGTTGCTGCTTTTGGCTTCATCTCCATTTGTGAAAGCCAGCCGGGATTCCGGCCCACCCAGGCCCAGCAGAAGTTTGGAGAGAGACTTTGCAGAACTGCTGTTTAGCCTCCCTCCCTTCGGCCTCCTAGCTCCTGAAAAACTTCTTAACGAAGTAATGTTCGGAGCGTCCATTAAAAATGCAATGCGAGGAGATCAAAGCACAATATTTATTTTAGAAATTTGTTGCAATCACCAAGAGATACAGGTATCAAGGCCAAATGTCAGTTCCATTACACAAAGCCTCGCGCCCGGGAAGAGCGTGTGGCTGCTCGGCCGTAATGTAAAGAGACATCAAAGACCCGGCGCGCCGCAAAAGTGCGCAGCCGGCAGGGCGGGAGCAAGCCCGGGAGGGCCGGGCGCGCCCCAGCCGGCGCGGGGGCTGCGGGGCGGGGGTCAGTTCAAAGGCGTATCCGCTGGGGTGCGAGTTCACAGGAGGGAAGATTTAATGGGCTTTCTTTTGTGGGTGGGTGTGTTTGTGCACAGTGGACCCAGGAACTCCAACGTGGTCCTCCCGCCTGGGGGCGGAGATGGGGGCGGGGTGCGAGCAGCGAATGTGGAGCAAACTTTACCCGCGGCGGGGGGCGGGGAGCTTGAATACTCGTCTCCCGGCGGCGGCTGGCACGGAGGAGCTTTCTCCTAGCGGCTCTCCAAGCAGCGGGGTTCCGAGGCTGGGAAGTTTGCGTGGCGGTTTGGCTTCTTCGCAGGCGGGCGGCAAGCGCAGACTGGGCCTGCGAGAAGAGGCGGGTAGGTGAACCCGCGGCGGCACCTGCGCGGGGCAGGCCTGCTGTGCGCGCTCTGGGGCTTCTCTCCCGATCAACTCGTGGGGCTGCTACTTCCAGCCCACGCCTGGCATCTCGCCTCGGGCATTTTCTTGAAGCAACCAGGCAAGCACGCCTCTGGCATAAATCCAACCATTCGCCCTTCTCCAGTTGATTCTTTTAAAATCTATACATTATTTAGGTCATTTCAACAAATTCTTAATTTATTGGCCTTTTGCGGTAGGGTGTTGCTTAACCGGCCAGATCTCGCCCCTCCCTGCCAAGGGGGCTCGACCTTCCAGTTGTCCGCATCTGCCTTGTTAATACCGTACCACGCGTTGCGTTATTAACGGTGCTTGGAACGGTGAGAGTTTTCCTCGTACGAATGGGGCACTGAGTCGCAGGAGGATGCCCATACATTTCTTGAGTCATCTACAACCAAGTATTCTCAGAGCAGTCACTCAGCAGCCTTTTGAAGTTGTGTTAGAGCAGAAAGCTGCTATTGTTCTCAGCTCTCTGTAACAAGGAAGGGATCAAACTTTGCCTCTTCAATTTGAAAGTTTTTTTTTTTTATGGTGGTGGGGGGAGTAATTGCAATCTGATACTCTCTAAGTTAACTTTGAGGATTTAGAGCAGTCTCCCAGTTTAAGCTTCAGACCAAATCACAGATGCCCTAACGCCTATCTGAAATAGGGGGCACTTCATCTCAGGGGAGTATTTAGTCACTGGCCATTATAATGCTGGAAACCTGGCTTGGTGACCAAGTTTTCTTGTAGAAAGTTTACTTCCCAAAGAATTGGAAAGTTCCCTCAACTGAAGTCTTAAGTTAATTTTAAGCTTAAACTTCCAAATTGAATCAGTATAGAATGGATGTAGTACTAAGAGGACTTTTTTTTTCTTTTAATCTCATTTGATTCTACTCCCTCATTTGATGGCAAGAGGAAACAGAATTTGCATGGTAGGCATCATGCTTGCAAGGTAGGGTGGACGTCAGTAGATGCTCAGTAAATGCTCACTGGTGGTGGAATTGTGTGTACTAGTGTTATCTGCATACAGAACACACAAACGCAGTAGGAACTGAGGGAGCAGGAGGACTGGTGAGGGCTGGAGTAGTTAAGTGAGGCTTTATCAAGGAGCTGGAGTTTGGAGGAGCCTACAGAATTTTAACGTGGTACAAAGAAAGAAGGTGAAGGAGGGAAGGTACAGCAAAGGAAAGAGAACTCCCCTCAGAGAGAAATTGAACAACAACATAGACAAGGTAGGGCCAGGTTAGAGAAGTCAGGGAGAGGAGTTTGCCCACACACTGTATACAGTATAGCAGGGATTGCTCCTGAGTAGGTGAATAGCAAGAATTTAATTCCAATTTCTGAAAACTTTTTCCCTAGGAGGGTTGGCTTGTAGAAGGATAGATGCTGATGTACTTATCTAGGTGTGAGATGGTGAAGGTTTTGATTGGGAACTGGTAGTGGTAGTGAAAGGGTGACTCAGGATTTTAAAGGGAAAAAGAGCAAAATTTGGACTAAGAGATAAAATGAAGGGAAAACTGAAAAAGATCCCTCTTGAACAAATGGTTCTGGGACAACTGGATATCTACATATAAAAGAATGAAGTTGGATCCTTTCCTTACAGCATACACAAAAATTAACTCCAAATTGATCATAGACTTAAATGTAAGAGTTAAAAGCTCTTAGAAGAAAATGAAAGAGTAAATCTTCAGGACCTTGGGTTAGGGAAAGCCTTCTTAGAGATGACACTAAAGGCACAAGTGACAAAAGAAAAAATAAATTGAACTTCACCCAATTTAAAACTTTTATGCTTTAATAGACACCTTAAGAAAGTGAAAAGACAATCTACAGAATGGGAGAGAGAATTTGTAAATTACATATTTAATAAGGGAACTCTAGCAACTCAACAATAAAAAGTCAAGTAACCAAATTAAAAATGGGCAAAGGATTTGAATAGACATTTCTCCAAAGAAGATATACAAATGACCAATAAATACAGGAAAAGATGCCCAACATCATTAGCTATCACTGAAACGCAAATCAAAATCACTTCACACCCACTAGGATGACTAGATTATAAAAAAAGATAACAACAAGTGTTGGTAAGGATGTGGAGAAATTGGAGCCCTCATACATTGCTGGCGGGAATGTAAAATGGTACAGTCAAAACAAATTGGCAGTTCCTCAAGATGCTAAACATGGAATTATACTTCTACTCCTAGGCATATACCAAAGAGAATTGAAAACAGACATCCACACAAAAACTTGTACATGAATATTCATAGCAGCATTATTCATAGCCAAAAGTTGGAAACCTAAATGTCCATCAACTAATAAATGAATAAAATATGATACATCCATGCAATGGAATATTATTCAGTCATAAAAAGGAATGCAGTACTAATACATGCTACAATATGGATGAACCTTGAAAACATTATGCCAAGTGAAGGAAGCCAGTCACCAAAGATTGAATATTATATGTTTCCATTTATATGAAATATCTAGAATAGAAAATCTGGAGACAGAAAATACACTAGTGAGTGCCAGGTACTGGGAGCTGGGGAATAGGGAATGACTGTTAATGGGCACAGGCTTTTGGGTGGCGATGAAAATGTTCTCGAATGGATCATGCTAATGGTTGCACAACTCTGTGAACATACTAAAAAAACCATTGAATTGTACATTTTAAATGGATGACTTGTATGATATGATATGTGATTATATCTCAATAAAGCTGTTTAAAAAACAAAACTGACTGTAAGGGTTTTAGCCTGTGAGGCAGCAAGAACAGCTCCGTTGCTGACAACAGTGGGAGAATAAGGAAGGGAGACTGAAGTTATGTAGAAGTACTGGCTTCAGTTTGGGCTGTTGAATCTGAGATTTGGGCTGGCTGCTCCTGGGGAAATGCCTGCAGAAGGCGGGACACGTGGGGAGTGGGCGGCGTGTGAGTGAGTGATAGTGCTGGAAAGAAGGACTCGTGAACGATTGTTAACTAGGGATGGTGGCTGAACAAGTGAGCTCGGAGTGAGTGGACATCAGGCAGGTAGAGAAAAGCTATAACAGATTCTGAGGGAAATCACAAATAGAAGACAAAGAGAGGAAGAGGAGCCATTAAAGTCGCCTGAGGAAGAGTTAGAGGCAAGAAGAAACAAAGGTAGCAGACGTGGGAGACTGAGCAAGGCCAGAGGAACCTCTTTTTCCCAGGCTGGTGTGAAGCGAGTAGAACCGCAGGAGATACCTTCTGACCTGAGGGATGTGAAACAAAACTCAAGGGAAGCTTCTTATTTATTTGAAAGTGAAAGTCACCGTCACTGCTGAGAGTGAAAGGAGAGGACACACAGGAAATGGTCACAGATCAGGATGGTCACACCTGCTCGTGTGAGCCTTGTCCTGGACATTTCACTTGATCCCATTGTAGCCTCACACCTGTAAGGCCTGCCCGCTCCTCCATCCTGCTGCCATTCAGATACCTTCAGACAAGAAGGGAAGGAGAGGGCTGGTGT